AGTTTTGATTGAGTTATGAATTTTTTAATTTTCAGTACAAATAGTGCAAAATGCATTATTTCGTCTAGTATCCCAAGTGAAAAACTTGCTCAAATCTTATTAAGATCTTAGTAAGATTTCGCTTATATTGTATGCGAAATAGAATTGGGAAGAAGTTATCAGTAATCCTTTAATCTCATAGGAAAAACATAATGAACATTCGTATCGTATGGAGCTATGAATATAAATACAGATGTAACAGTCATTCTGCTTACAATTTATATTTTCTCCCTTCGATAAGTTCTAAATCACATTCAAATGATATAAATACTCATTCACTCAACTATTTTAACTTACGTACTTGTAATTTCAAGAATAATAAAATGTGAGTAACTTTGTAGCAGGTATTAGACAGTGTACTAATACCTGCAACAAAAAGTACAATTAAGCACATAAAAAGGAGTATATGTTGATATCTTGAAGGAGTCTGGAAGAATTTTGGGTGAGTTATGAATCTTAGAAAGCGGCAAACTCATCTTTGAAACATCGATCAGGTACACCGTGGCAGACCCCATTGATAGAATTGATTTACGCATAGAAAGATACTGTCAGGTCCTGGCTACAAGACAGTGGAAACCGCAGGTCTTCATCTTGTTCCGTCCAAAACCAATTAAAGAACGAGCGCGACCACTGTTCAATTGGACAGATAATATGTGTATGCATTCTGTTTTTTACCTGGTATATACATATATATAAGGTGCCGGCAACGCGAATCTCCAGTACCACGCTACGGATCGTCTTTTTTTCTTTTCTTTCCTATGTTGAGAAAAATCGTTTTTACTGGGACAGGAGGATAAAGGGGAGGTCATTTTTGAATAAAATGCATAGTTTTTATCCAAACTGAGTGGAAATTTGTCCGTATAGGTAATAACCCATGGCGAATCGAATGGACATATTTATAAGTTCTCTGGAGACCCTTCGCAAGGTCTCTGGGAGTCCCCTCATGGAAAAAGCATAGTTTTCTGATATTAATCGATATTATGTCTTTCTTTAAGATAACTTCTACAATAAAGTGCTTTAGCTTATTATGCCTAGACCGAAGAGAAGCAAAAGTAAAGTGCAAAGCGCGTCAGGTCAGCGCAGGGCTAGTGTAAAAGTTTCCTCTTCGAGCGAGTCGTCAAATGACGAATATAGTATGGATATTGATGATCAAGAATTATCGTTCAATGAAAAAATTATATTGACCGATATTGGTGATCTTGCTGAGATGTGCAAATCGAAATGTGACACAAAATATCTTAACATATTGCTTTATATGTCGCTGCGTTACTTCAACATCAAATGGGAAGATGTTGATGGGTATTTAAAGACTATTGATTTCATGACCGCGAAAACTTCTCATAAATGGGGAACAGTGTTTATTAAAGAAGATTATGAAGAAGAACGTTCAGAAGTGGTGAAGTTAGCCCAAAACGATGGTTTTTTAAAGAGAATACACTGTTTTTTTCAAAAGGTCGTGGCCGTAGCCATATGGTATCTGATTTTCTTGTTCAACATCGTAGCGGACTGTTCTTTGAACTTAATGAAGGTGAATGAAAACAAGCAGTCACAAAATATAAAATATTAAGTGCGGATAGTGATGTTAATTGTCTTAATCGAACAGCTACAGCTAGTATCAATATCGGAACAGACGCTTACTTCGATAACAATACTATCTTGGATCAGTTCGAAAGGCTATTTCAAATGCTGGAATTTAAACAAGACCATAAGGGTAATCAGATAGAAATCATTGTCGACAACACAAGAATTCATACTACTAAGGCATATTCATTACAAGAATTCGCTAAAGGCATTGGTCATCGGTGTCCAGTCGATCAGATCGAATATGCCGACGAAAATGGTGTAACAGAAGTAATTGATTGTTATTTTAGACAGGGGCAAACAAAGGTAAATCAAAAGGTTTAGTTGAACTATCTAAAGAATTAGGTGTACAAAATTACCAGCTAAAGTTAAATTAGATGAAATTCGTGAAATATTTTCAAAACATCGAGCTTTTCAGAATGTAAGTCAGAGTCGTTCCACATCTTAAGGTATTTTGTCCTATATCATCTACTATCTATGGATTACAAAACTTGAGATGCTGGCAATCAAATATCATATTAAGATTATATACTGCCCTAAATATCTTTGTGGACGAAGCGCAAGTGAAGGGCGGTGGTGGGTTCG